CCCCCACGAGGGAGCGATATGACTTTGTCATGTGACCTACTGGGCCGCCCCGTAATTATTATCTTTATGAGTCAATAAATAGTTCATATGTTTTGATAATCTATTAGGTCAGTTCTCTAATAAGTGAAAAAGGGAGCTTTGCTTTTATGCTGTAACAGCTCTTATAGAGTGGTTTTATATGTGTCTATTTTGTAGTTAATTTATGTTATATATTGAAAAGTGTGTATTAGTCATTTATCCACCGAAGAGCTCTATTCCTATTCTACCATGAACTAGCTTCCTGACTGTTAGATTAAAAGAGCATTAGTAGATATTTTTATGTAGTTAATTTATGTTATATATTGAAAAGTGTGTATTAGTCATTTATCCACCGGAGAGCTCTATTCCTATTCTACCATGAACTAGCTTCCTGACTGTTAGATTAAAAGAGCAGTAGTAGATATTTTTATGTAGTTCAAAGGCATTAGGATTAGTGAGGATTTACACCCTGTGTACATGAGGCTGTGGGTTATCATGTTATATAGATCGCTTTATAATAGGAGCATTACTATAAAAATCATTTCTACACAAATATTAGGCTTGTCTGTTCTGAAATATAAAGATTACATTGAGAAGCATCTTTTGTCAACAATGAATATGATTTTGGTGGTCAACTGGTATGCATATTGAATTCTTCTTGGTTTTGATTTCAGTCTGACTGCTGTTTTTTTTCTTTTTTCAACAAGGCATATGTGCAACAACTCGAGAGTAGCAGGGTGAAGCTTGCTCAACTCGAGCAGGAGCTCCAACGAGCTCGTCAGCAGGTAGATTTCTGGAATTACTCATATTGTTAGAGGTTTGCGTATTTAATATCTTTATTTTGTACTTCCGTATAGGGCATTTTTATCTCGAGCTCAGGAGATCAGTCTCATTCTATGAGTGGAAATGGTAATCTCAGTATCTATGTTCTTTTGAAGTTTCTTTTCTTTATTTGTGTTATTAACGAGATTACGTAGCATTGCTGTTAGTGTTATTCTTCCTCATTTTAGAGTGCGAAAATTTTTCATCCCAACCTACGGATGACACTTAACTAGTTTTTTCCAGAAGCTTCTCCCTGGGGAATTAAAATAACAATGTACTTTTAGAGATCTCATATGGGGAAATTAGTTTTTCCTGTGTTGGCTACCACTTTGGATCACTATTCGGTACATATTACCACATTTTATAATTACTTGAGATATATGTTATAGTGCCTTTCTGGGTTGGCATTAGTTGCTTTCTCTAATGTCTTTTGGTTAATATAATTGAAATGCAAACCACAAAGGCTGGAAATTTCAAACTCACTAAGTTACTCATGTTCATTTGGAAATGATTGAAATAGAGAGAAGCGGGGCTTGGATTGTGGTTAGTTTGAGACAAGGAGTGATGAGCTAGCATGGAGTGTCTATGGGTTTAGCACATTAAACTCCGTGAACTGAAGCTGACTCATTTTGTGAGTGAATCCAATTCCTCATTTTAAGCAGAAAAGTGGTGACATATTATTCACCAGGGAAAACCCATGATTCCACACCAAAGCCTAAATATGGAATTCCAGGCTTATTTTAATTAGACAGGACCTTTAGTGCGAGAATCTGCTTATGGAGTATCTGTCTGAAGAAATTTTTAAACTTC